ATGCAGCCTACCTCCCCCTGCTGCACTTAGATAGCTTTAATCTTTGGATTTTGAAATTATTCTTGAGGCACAGGGCAGAAATTGCAACAAGAGCACCCATGGCTCCACCAGGCCTTCCAGAGCTCTGGAAGAAGATGGCCATGGGGATCTGTGGACCTGGACAGGATGTGGAAGGCCCCTGGCTTACCTCTAGTTCCAGTGGCTCTTCGTGCGACCTGGGACCTGCTGCTCAGTGTGGCCCCTCTCGGCTGTCCTGCTGCCACGCATTTGCGCTGGGCCCTGATGGTTAATGCTTTCCCTCCTGTCCCTGGTGCAGAGCCCGGACTGGGGGAGAGGGTAGGGTTTCAGCCCTCCCCGGCAGCTGGCCCAGCGGGGAGAGGGGCTGGTTGTATTTTAAGCTGTTGAGTGGTTCAGCAGGAACTTGATGGCCTCCTCTCCTGGTGGACGCTGTGGTCTACATGGGCTCCAAGCATGTGGGTAGTGCTCATGGGGCCCAGGAACTATTAATATACCTACAGCCACAGGGGAGGCCTCGTGTCTACCCAGGGCCTCACTAACTTCTTCCAGCGCATTCGTCATGTGCACATTCCCTCTCATGCCTCCTTAGTGGGAACCTGATGTGCAGCTCTCATTCTGGCTTTGTCCCCATAGGAGTTCAGTCATTGGCTCCTCTGAGCCACAGGGTGAAGCAGAGCCTGGCATCAACAACAGGTGATCTCTGGGCCTTGTCTTGTCCCATGTCCACGATGCAAGGCAGAACATAGATGGGCAAGCAGGCCTGGGTGCCACTGGCCCGCACGGAAGGCTTGCTTTGAACTCAGGCCTGGGCCCTGCAGTGCAGAGATGCCTTAACCAGGCAGGGTTGCCCCCATGGGGCTTCCCCACCTGTCACTTCCCTCATGCCAGCATGATGCTGGTGGTCCATGTGCATCCTCCCAGGACTGATAGTATACCTACCTGTTTCCTAGCTGAGGGTCACCTAGTGACTGCAAACTAGGGTTGGGCACAAGCCTTGAGATCCTGTCTTTGCCTCTGTTGTTGGGAGTATATATGTGGGGCCAGTTTTTCTGGCTTGTGCTGTCTCCTTCAGAATGGGGAGGGTTATACTCCCATAGGTTCCCAAGGCCTTTCAGCGTGGGCAGTACCCAGCATTGCCCAGCAGCCTTCCTTGGCCTGCCTGGGCAGGTGTTTCAGATCTCCTGGGACTCCTCCTGCCTCCCAGTTCTGCCTTCTTTATCACTGTCTGACCCCCGTCCAGGGACTTCTTCCTTGGAGGTTGTGGAACCTTAGATGCAGACAGGCCTAGGTTGTGTACACTGGGCTTTGGAGGACTCGTGCTTACATGAGCATCTGATTGGGCTGAGAGACTGCTATACAGGTGGCCTTGAACCAGGTGTGGGTGGAACTGATGAGAAGTGATGGGTAGAGAGGTAGACTGGGGATGTGGAGGGCCTTGCTTGCTCCTCATTCCTTTCTACACTTAGAGGAGCTCTGCACCAATAACTCTGGAATCTGTCACCTCCCTGGGAACACAAATGCACAGGGGAAATAATCCAGTGTCCCTTACAGCTCAGAAGGGGAAATGGATGATCTGTCTCTTGGCTTCTCAAAATCGCTGGCGTTTTCCCAGGCCCAGTGACCTGTCAGCTGAGCTGGGCACTGGGGCTGGGACTGGGGTTGGGCTGGCTGTACCCGCCACTGGCTGTGAACCTCTGCCCTTTTCTAGGGATCTTCCTGCTTGTGGCACTGTTGGGGGGGGGGCGCTGTATCTACTCAAAAGCATTTTTGAGGGCAGCCTGGCTTGGGGTGTGCCCCCAGGGGAGGATTGTGGTGTGACTCCTTCAGGGGACTTGGACCGGGATGGTTTTATATTTAGCTGTGCCGGCCGTGGTGCCACTCAGGTTACATCTGGCATTGAAGCTGGCTGGGCCTGGGCAGACACAGGCTCCCTTCCAGTACCATGGCAGAATTTGATCATGCTGCCCAGCCCAGCCCAGAGCAGCTTTGACTGGGGAGGTTGGAGGTGGGGGTTGGTGGCCGGCAGCTGAGGCCATAGCCTGGGCAGGGAAAGCAGCAGGGCCAAGCAGCGGCATGGATGTCAGCCTGAACTTGGTGACCAGGGAGGCCCAGCAGGGCCTCAATGGCCTTCCTATGCCCATGCCCCCCAAGGTAGCCAAGAAGCATAAAAAAGCTGTTCTTTTCTTTGAGGTGGAGATTCTGGATGCCAAGACAAGGGAGAAACTGTGCTTCCTGGACAAGGTAGGACTGTGGCCCGGTGGTGCTGTGCTGAGGGCCCAGGGTCCCCACTTCTTCCAGCTCCTGTAGAGCTGTCGAGCCCTCTGCAGGCGCCTTGTCCTTCAGAGGGCACACAAGGGGCACTGCCTCCATCTGGAGGAGAGTGAATGGCTATGGCCCCTGCATTTGGCTGGGAGCTGGCTGCCTGGCAGAGGGAGGGACCAAGGCAGCCTGGGAGGGCCCTCCCTGTGTCTGTAAAGGAGGAGGAAGATGGAGCTGCCCCACTGGGGTCAGCCCTCTTGATCTTGACCCCCCTGTGCCCTACACCCATCCCCCATCCTGGGTCTGGGCCCCCTTAGGGCTGACCCTCCCCCTTTCCCCCAGGTGGAGCCTCAGGCCACCATTGCTGAGATCAAGAACCTCTTCACCAAGACCCGTGAGTCCAAGTCCCCAGCAAACTTTCTTCATGCCTACCACCCCTCTGAGTGGGACCTGGGTCTGCATGCCTCTTGCTCAGGGGGCTATAGCGATGTTCCTGTGGGCCCTGGTCCAGGCTTCTCTGGACTTGACCAGGCAGGTCGCCCCCATGTGGCCATTAGCAGGAACACCCTTGCTGTGCCTTGCCTGCCCTCTTCTGCCTGTTCTTGCAGAGGGTAGGGGGAGCTGGGGTCCTAGAGACCTGGGAGCCCTGAGAGGCCCAGTGGGAAGGTAGGCAGGCTGAGTGCTGCCACCCCTCCCCTTCTTCCTGCAGATCCACAGTGGTACCCTGCTCGCCAGTCCCTCCGCCTGGACCCCAGTGAGTACAGTTGTCTGCTGGCCATTTCCCTGGGAACCTGGGGGCAAAGGGGGAGGCCAGAGCAGCCCCTGAGTGCTGGCTGCTCTTTGCAGAGGGCAAGTCCTTGAAGGATGAGGATGTCCTGCAGAAGCTCCCTGTGGGCACTACGGCCACACTCTACTTCCGGGACCTGGGGGCCCAGATCAGCTGGGTGACGGTGAGCCCTGCCTCCACCCCCGGCCTCTGTCTTCGCCCACACTGGGCCATTCACTTTGCCTCTCGATACTTTCACTTTGCCAGGTGTTCCTGACTGAGTATGCTGGGCCCCTTTTCATCTACCTGCTCTTCTATTTCCGTGTCCCCTTCATCTACGGTCACAAATACGACTTCACGTCCAGTCGGCACACAGTGGTGCAGTGAGTGGGACCTGGCAGGGGCAGGTGGGAGGGAGCAGGGCTGAAGGCTTACTGGACCAGCCCCATCAGAACTGGCTCTCCCACCAGTCTCGCCTGCATCTGCCACTCATTCCACTATGTCAAGCGCCTGCTGGAGACACTCTTTGTGCACCGCTTCTCTCATGGAACCATGCCCTTGCGAAACATCTTCAAGGTGAGCACCTCTGCTCTCTTGGCCCGACTCTGTAGTGCCCGCCCCCCCTGCAGCCAACCTATTTGCTCTTTTTCAGAACTGCACCTACTACTGGGGCTTTGCTGCATGGATGGCCTACTACATCAACCACCCTCTCTACACGCCTCCCAGTAAGTGGCCCAGACCCCCCTTACCTTTTTTGACCCCCCCTCATGAGCCTTCCTCTCATGGGGGCTCTTCTTCCTGCTCTCTACAGCCTATGGAGCTCAGCAGATTAAGTTGGCACTGGCCATCTTTGTGGTAAGGAGACTGGGGTGGTGGTCAGGTGGGACAAGGCTAGGGACTCTGGCCTGATCCTGCTCCTCCTTGACAGATCTGCCAACTCGGCAACTTCTCCATCCACATGGCTCTTCGGGACCTGCGACCAGCTGGTGAGTGGCCTGTGGGGGTTAGGGCTGGTTGAGCTGGGTGAGGGGTCTATCTCACGCCTGTCCTGTGTGCCAGGGTCCAAGACCAGGAAGATCCCATATCCCACCAAGAACCCTTTCACATGGCTGTTCCTGCTGGTGTCCTGTCCCAACTATACTTATGAGGTGAGGGACTGCCCTCCTCTCCTTCCTCAGTTTTGGGGTCCTACATTAGAGGTGAAATATGGGGCTGCTGCAATTTGAACCTGGAGCTTTGGTGGGGCAAAGTGATGGCCACCTCCCTGTCCTGTGAGGATGTGTGTATGATGCTGGGCCTTGTCCTGGAGCTTTGTTTGAGGATGGACAGATGGCCACCTCCCTGCCTTCCAGTGGGACTATGTGATGCGGGGCTTCCATTGTATGTCATCGCCCCCCCGCCCCCCTCAAATCCCTGTGCACTGGAAAACCAACTCAAGGAGGGACTAGGGGCAGTGGCTGGCCACCTGTGCATGCAGTTGGGGAGCAGGAGAGCCCAGCATGCCTTCACCTTGCTTGTACTGTCCACAGGTGGGGTCTTGGATTGGTTTTGCCATCATGACTCAGTGTCTACCAGGTGAGCCCCTTATTCCTGAGCTTCCTGCCCATCTGGCCAGGTGCCTCCATACTGACACTGCTGCTTTGTCCACAGTAGCCCTCTTCTCCCTGGTGGGCTTTACCCAGATGACTATCTGGGCTAAAGGCAAGCACCGAAGCTACCTGAAGGAGTTCCGAGACTACCCACCCCTGCGCATGCCCATCATCCCCTTCCTGCTCTGAGCAGCTCCCCATGGGCTCAGTCAAGCAGTGCTCTCCACCTACTGACCCACTGTCCTGGTGTGGTTGTGGTTCTCCAGCACCCACAATAAAATCTGCCTGCCCAGCTGGACTCAGGCTCTGTGTATTCTTGAGGTGTTCGGGGACCACACTATTCCCACCCGAGGCAGTGTAGAAGGAGGCTGGGTGAGGTGCCCTGAGGCGTTTATTTCACTGACAGGTCCATAGGCTAGTGAGTGACCCCCTACAGGGCCATCTCTGGGCCCACTTCCCCGTCTCCCTGGCCTTGGGCTGCCCGGGCCTCCCTTGCTTCCCTCCGTTTCTTCCTCTGGAGGAGCCGCCGCTCGCGCTCAAACTCCTTCATCCGTTTCACATAGCTGCAAACAGAACAGACAGGGGTCTCAGTGCCATAGACAGGACATGCCCTCCTGCCTCTCCCATCTACCCAGGATTGGGTATTGTTGGTGTAGGGAAAGCCTGGTGTTTATGATCTGCTTATGGCTGTCCACCTGACTCCATCCCTTGCTACCAGTAGGCACCAGGAAGCCCTTCTAGGGGTGGGGCCTCCCACTGGAACCCTATCCAGTCTCTCCCCACCCCCACCCAACGGGTACTTGAAGATCTTGTGGCCTAAGGCGAGGGGCAGTGTCCTGTGGTGGGGAGGCTCACTCTAGGTGCTCGCAGTAGTCCCAGTCATGCTGCTCATGTTTGCAGGCCAGGAAGTTGGGGAAGCTGTCACGCTTGCACTTGAGCAGTCGGATGAGGTAGTGGGCACAGTAGTCACGCTGCTCCAAGGTCAGCTGGGCATCGTTCATCTCCTGCTGTGTGGCCACCATCACTGTGAGGAGTGGCAGGGCTCAGCACCTTGGCCAATCCCCACCCCTACCCGACTTCAGGGATCTGCAGTGGACCCAGTGGGCTCACAGCACAAATAGGAGCTATGCCCTGACATGGGCCTGGCTTTTCTCATTTACACTAAAGCAATCTGGAGCCGAGTCCTGACAGGAGAAAGAAGGGCTGCTCTCTCCTGTCCCCTTTGGCACCTAAATAGCACAGTGGATTGTCTTGTCCTGTTTTCTGTCCTGTGATATGCCTTCCAAACAGCCCTCTCATGGACTTGGGCTCAGAGCTCATTTTTCCAGCCCCGTAAGCCACGTGGGACCTGAATCTCAGCTCTGCACTGGCCACCAGGGCCTCTTCGCCTCGGCTTTCCTACTACAGAAAGGTGCCAGTCCTGGTGTGGAAGCCACCTGGCTGTCAATGGCACCAACAGTGTTGTGGTAACCACCATCTCAGGAGTGCATCACCAGGGGTTGTCACTGCCACCACCACAACATGCACTGACAGACTATGACAGGTAGGTGGTGACTGAGATAGCCATGGAATGGAGTCTGCTGTCCGGACATCACCACATGTTGCGTGCATGTTAAGTACTCAGGCCTGGACATCCAGATACTGGATTAGCCTGGAGCTGAACTATCCCAACACTGGCAAACCTGACCCTTCAGGTTGATCGGCTGTTAGAAATAGTGGGCACACCCCAGCCTTGCTGCATCCCCAGTTCCCACCTGCTGCCCCCTCCCCACCTTAGTTCTAGGCCCTTTTCATTATATCAAAACATGTTCTCACAGAGAACCTGGTGGCTCAAGGCCTGTATCTCAGCTACTCAGGAGGCTGAGGCAGCAGATCACAAGTTCAATACCTGCCTTGGGCAATTTAGAGGAAGACCTACCTCCCCACCCCCATCAAAACAAAGATAGGAAAAAAAAAAAAAAAAAAAAAAAAGGGCTGGAGAGTTGGCTCAGTGGTTAGGAGCACTTGTTCTTTTAGAGGACCTGAGTTTCCAGCACCCATCAGATAGTTCTTAACTACCTGTAATTTCAGTGTCAGATGATTTGACAACCTCCTTCTGGCCTCCTGTACCTGTATGCTAGTGCACAAATCACACACATAATAAAAAAAAAAAAAGTCTTACAAAATACACACAGGGTTGGAGTGTAACTCAGTGGTAGAATGCTTGCCTAGCATGTGTGAGGCCCTTGGTTCTATCCCCAGAACTGCACAAACAGGTTCTGATCAACTTCATTTTTCCTTTCAAGGCTGCCACCTCCCTGTTACCAGCTGCCATTCTCTCTATCATTTGGGCCCAGGTTTGTAGGAAACCAGGATGCCAGGCCCTACGGTGAGGTGAGCCTAAAACTTATACGTCCAGGCTGCATTCTCTGCTAAAGAGAGGGGCACTGAAGACAGTGGCTCTGATAATCCCTGTCTTGCAGAACACTGCCAGACTAGCAGGGGGAAGCCGCCTGGTCATAAAAGTGCAGGCTCCCTGCTCTGTGGGAAAGCATCTTGGTCAACCCTTAGCTCATCTCCTTGTCCTGAACAAATAACTCAGCTATCCCTGGCTAAGAGATTAGGCCAGGTTAAAGGTTTACTCCTGAGCTAAAAGCTAAAAGTTCACCATGTTTTTAGCTCTAAGAAAGAAAACACTGTGGCCAATAAATTACCGGATGGACATTGATAACCTTGAATAAAAGTTTAAGAACCCTTCTGGCGCCAACTAACAGACTAAATGTCCTGTTTCTTTGTACCTAAATCTTTGTATGTGACTGCTAGTTCCTTGGGATGTATAAAAACCATCTGAATTCTAAAATAAATCGTCCTGTTGGGAAGACACAGGTCCCAGAGTTTATGACTCTGTCACTGATCAAATCCTCTGCCTGGAAGTCAGTAGGTCCCCCGCTAAGCAGAGCAAACCTGAGTCCTGGCACAGGTTCTTGTTTGCTGCCCCTCAAAACACCTCTTCCGGTTGGTTTCTACCCCCTAATGCCCGGACATGGTTCACAGAGCCACCATTGCACTCTACCCAGATCTCCTACCTCCAGGCTTTCCAAACCCAAACAGTAATCACCTACTTTCCAAGAGCCCTCTACAGGGCCTTTCCTGTGCCTTTGACTATACCCCCTAGGCTGATGAGCCCAACTTGGTCCCTCTACCCCATGCCTCTGCACCCAGGCTCAGGTGCCCCTTTGCAGGCAGAGCCACCTAATTGGGAGCTCAGGGCAGCAACCCAAGCTCCTCCCCGCCTCCAGCTCAGTGGGTCTGCAGCAAGCCTGGGCATACTGCTGCCCACCAGGCCACAGGAATATAGTAGGGAGACCGGAGGATGAATGTCTGGCAGCTGTACAGACTAGGAAGGAAAAGTGTGGAGGAAGGAATGCTTGGGGGGGAGGGTGGGAAGGCGAGGGGTGAGCCAGGTAGGTACCGTGAAGAACATTCCAGGTAGAAGTGGTGCCAAGGCCTTGAAGCAGTAAGACAAGTGTCGGGATCCCTGAGTTCCCTGGGTTTTGGCCTGAGTTCAAGGAAGGGTGGAGCTACTCTTTCCTTTGATGGGAAAAACAGTGGGAAGGGAAGGCTTAAAGAAGTCAAGAGTTCTGAGACCACTGAGCACAAGATGCCCATTAGGACCTGGCACACACCAATAGTCCCAGCACTCAGGAAGATTTCAAGTTTAATGTCAGCCTGGGCTGCATAGCAAGATTCAGTCTTGAAAAGAAAAATCAAGGTGGGTGTGGTGGCAACACTCAGGGGCTGAGGTAGGGGGATTTGGGGTTCCAGGGTAGCCTGGGCTACAGAATGAGACCCTGTCTCAAAAAAATAGGGTGGAGAGTGATTGAGGAGGACACCTGATGCTGACCTCTGGCCCCACACAGGTGCATATACACACCACCTACATGGACAAAACTCCCCAAACCCTTAAACAAAAATGACAAAGTCAGCAATGCATTCCTAAGGAAGGCAGCAGCATCAAACACATGGGGCCAGTGATCTCAGCACTTCAGAGGCTGAAGTAAAAGGATCATGAGTTCTAGACCACCCTGACTCTGTCTCCAAAAACAAAAGGGGCACAGTGAGGAAGCAACTTGGAGACTAGGTCAGCAGAGCTGGCTAGGTTTTACCAGGGTTTTTGGTTTAGCGAAGCAAGAGAGGAATGGGGTTGTCAGTTTTCAAAGCTGATTGTGGGCAAAGCAGGGTATTCATGTGGATATAAATGGACTGCAGGTCCAGTTGGGGCTGGAGGACTCCTTGGGGTTGGGACACTGGCACGATTATAACATCTCCTGACAGACTCAGATGCAGACCTCTGCACATCATCCCTTAGAGGGTTCCCTGTCTCCAAGTCATCATCCACCTAGTAGTCACTAAGACTTCTGTATATGTGCGGAGGCCAGAGGGCGAAGTGAGGTATCTTCCTCAATTGCTCAACCACGTTATACTTTGTGACAGGGTTTCATAGAAGCTTGAGTTCACCAGTTGGCTATAATGAATGGCCAAGAAGCTCCTGGATCCCTCTTCATCTCTCGCAGTGGAATTACCAGCAACAATTACTGGCACTCCTGCTGGGTCCAGCTTTTTATATGGTGGTGTGCAGCAGTTTCCTCCAAGAGAAAACATTTCCATCTTGGTTGTGAACCTGAGCCTTTAAAGGCTGCACCAACTCTCTTGGGGCTGGCATAGTGGTGCATGCCTTTAATCCCAGCACTTGGGAGGCAAAGGCAGGGAATCTGTGATCAAGGCCAGCCTGGCCTACATAGTTGAGTTCCAGGCCAGCTGGGGCTCAAGGAGACCCTGTCTCAAAGGGGGGCCCCGGGGGGGGGGGGGGAAAAAAAAAAAAAAAAAAAAAAAAACCAAACAAAAATCCCCACCAGCAACAAAAAAACCCAAACACCTTGGAGAGAAGCTCTTTAAGGCCAGGATGTTAAAAGGAAGGTAAAACATTGCACCCTGCAGGGAAGCTGAAGCTGGTTAAGCTCAGGAAGTCCCTGAAACTGACCAGACTCACCAGGCCTCACCACAAGCATATACAAGCAGAGAGGACTGTTAGACACACTCAGACCAACTGAGCTGCCTAGAAAACACTTCAACCTGATGCCTGCAGGCTGTGTAGTATAGGTTTCATGAGCTGTCACCCATGCTGAGGTGGGCTTTTGATGCAGCTGTCTTTGAATCATTTCTGCTCTGGTAAGTAACTCTTCGCTCATTCCTATAAGTAACCCCAATAAAACACTGGTTCACAAAGTTGAACTTTGGTAGGGCCCTCACTTGATGTGTTGTTGGCTCCCTATCTGAGTAGATGTTTACAGTCTCCCCAGGAAAAGTGTCATGGGTGCTGGGGATTGGAACTCAAGTCCGCATGTTTGCAGTAGCAAGCACTTTACTGACTGAGCCTTTTCTCCAGTCCACACCACAACCTTTAGGCAAAGCAAATTTATCCTCCCTCTCCTTACTAGTGAGGACTGTGTCCCCTCCGTGGACCCCTGCTCCAGTCGGGCCCACTGTTCCTTTTAACTTCCACTGCCTGTCTCAACACCCCAAGTTTTGCCCCCAAGATTTACCTGAATACACTGCTTTCTCTAACAGGCTTTGAGTTCCCTGAAAACAGCGTTACCCCGGGGTATCTCAAGTGCCAAACTGGCACTTTGTCCAGAACTGGTGCTTCGTATGCCTGTGGTTTTACCACACAGAAAAAAACGAGGGCTGGGGCGTAGATCAGTGGCAGATCACCTGGGGAGCATGCGCGAGGTCCCAGGTTCTATGTTCAGCACCACACACCCCGGACAGGACAGTGTATGCGGTCTGAGCCTCCCTTGTGTTCTTGTGCATAGCTAAATATGAGTGACACCTGGATGGAGATATAGTAACGAGTCCTTAGGTTCCGTGCTGTGCCCAGGACGAAGTGCAGTAGGCAGCCTCGTCTCCTCGCTCCCCGGTGTCGTTAGTCCCGGGCGTTTGCTCCAGCGGTACCCGCACCCTCCCGAACTTGGGGCCGAGGCCGCACGGAATCCCGCTGGACCTGCGCGCCTGCGCACTGATCTCACCACGCTCCTTGCGCTCTGGAAAGCCGTAGTCGGGAGGGAAGCTGGGCATCCGCAGGGGGTCGGGCTCCGTGGATGCATCTCCCAGGTAGCGCCGGGCCAGATGTGCCCCCATGTCTGCACCGTCTCAGACTCCAGCGGCACCGGGGTCACCTCGCTCTTCCCTGGAAGCACTGCCCTCCACGGGCCTTGACTTCCGGGTTGCCCAATCCGCGGCGCGGTCATAGAGATGAACTGCGGAGGACGTCTGGATGCCTGGCGCCCCCTGGTGGTCAGGCTGAGGCAGGACAGGTGAGGCCCGTCTGGCTGCTGACGACTGGTTGCCTGGGAGCTGCTGTGGACACAGCCTGGGGGCTTCTCCCATGGAAACCCGAGTCTGCAGCACAGCTGAAAGTTCTTTTTCATATCATTCAAAAAATTGTTACTGGTTTTA